AAATTTTTATATACATTTTTGAATAAACAATTAATAACCGAATAATATATAAAATTACAACTGTATTAATGTTCTTTCGACAGCTTTATTCCATTCAGAAGTTTTTTTTTTTCTCTTTTTATCATTCATTTTAGAATGAAAAACAGCATCACTTCTCCTTAATAAACTTTTGACAGAATCTAGACTGTCCCATATTTTAACTTCTAATCCAGCTAGAACTGCAGCACCAAGAGAAGTTACTTCTTTGTATTTTGAAACTTCAATTTTTGTATTAATAATATCTGAGTTAAATTGCATAAATGGTTTATTTTTCGTCATACCTCCATCACATCGCAAGACATGTAACATTTCAATACCTATATCCGATGTTAAGGAGTCAACAATTTCATTTAACTGAAAAGCTATACCTTCTAATAGTGCTCTTACAATATGGCTTCTTTCCGTATTAAAAGTCATTCCATATATGGATGCACGTGCATCTGATCTCCATCTGGGTGCATATAATCCACTGAAAGCTGGTACAAAAATGACACCCGTTGTATTTTCACATTTCTCCATAATATCGCTGGCTTCACTTGGATCGTCAATTAGTTTGTTTTTAAGAAGCCATGAAACACCAGATCCAGCAGTACCTATAGAACCTTCAAGAGCATATTTAGGTTTATCATTATCATTAAATTTATAACATACAGTAGTAATTAAACCGCATGTAGAATATACAACTTTTTCTCCTGTATTAATTAGAAGGAATACACCTGTACCATATGTACATTTCGCTTCACCTTCGTCGAAGATAGCCTGACCTATACATGCACTTTGTTGATCTCCAATACATCCAGTAATAGGAATATTTAAATAGTCAGGAACATGTTCTGACTTAACTAAACCAAAATTAGAACAATTACTTTTTATTTCAGGTAAAACAGACATATTAGTAATATTAAATATTTTACACATCTTTTCATCCCATTGTAATGTATTAATATCCATTAATAAAGTTCTTGAAGCATTAGTAACATCTGTATAACAATTCCCTTTAGTTAAATTAAAAATAAGCCATGTATTAATATTTCCTATAACTGCAGTACCATCATCAATTTTTTGTTTGATTTCTGGATTGTTTTGAATTAACCACAATATTTTAAAAGCACTAAAATATGTATTAAAGTAAGTTCCTGTTTTTTTCTGAATATCATTATTATTATATTTCTCAGAAAATTCGGTAACAAGTTCTTCTACACGTGTATCTAGCCAAACTATAGCATTGTATAAAGGTTTTCCTGTCATTCTATCCCATATAATTACAGTTTCTCTTTGATTAGTAATACCTATACATTTTATTATAACAGATGGATATTTATCTTTTAACACTTTTATTCCTTCATTCATTAAATTATATAAGTTGGTCATAATCTCTATTGGATCATGTTCATACCAACCAGGTTTCAAACATTTTTGTTCATGATTTAAATTATTGGAGTGAACAATATTTAATTCTTCATCATAGAAAAACACTTTGGTTGATTGTGTACTTTGGTCTATACTTAATATGACATTCATTTTATTTATTTATTTATTTTTTTTTTCTTTAAATGAAATATTAAAATAATATTTTTTTTAGAAATATATCAAAAAAAAAAAAAAAAAAAAAAAAAATAAAAGACCGACCAGCTCAGTAGAAAAACTTTACAAAATAATATATATATATTTATGTATGTATTATGTTTTTTTTTTTTTTTTCTTTTTTTTTATGATAATTTTTAGAGAATAATTTCAAACAAGAATAACAAAAAAACTTATCAACAGAAAAGAAAAAAAGAATATTAATATAAATATATTATTGTTTATTAAGAAAACACTTTAGCATACACAAAAATATATTAAAAATATTCGACAGCAATTAATTTGCCTACATATAACGTGAAAATTTTATATATATATATATATATATATATATATATATATATATATGTATATATTTACAGATATTTATCTGTACATATATTTAAAAATATATATATGTATAAATATATATATTTCTATACATATATACAAAATATATACTTATTCATATGAACATGTATTTTATGAGATATACGTAATATAAACATATATTTTTGTTATTTATGTTTTAAAAGTGCAATTTTTTTATAACTTGCAAGGCATGTTACAATTTGTTTTTCAAATTAAAATACAATTGTCATAAAAAATTATTTGAAATATTAATAAACACAAAAATATACACATATATATATATATATATTATATATTTTTAAATTTTATAGTAACCATATTATATATATATATATGCTTCAATTCATATAAAAAAAAAAAAAAAATTAAAAATATTGTTAATATGGATCATCGAAAAAAATCTGTATATATATATTATACATTTGTAGCATGTATGATTGATGTGTATAATATAGGATGTACAATAAAACACCGACTGCAAAATTTAAAGAAGAAAAAAAAAATATATATATTTTACAAAATATTTAAAAGGAATGTTTTTTTTTATCGTTATTTTGTAAATATGAAAGGATTGTTTTCCAATTTTTTTCTACATTGTCGTTACTATTTATATAATAAGACACATTTTTACTATACGTGTTTTATTTTTTTTAATTTTTCTTTTGAATGTAAAAACTGTTTTTTTTTTGAGGATAATAATTATATCCATAAATATATATATATATATATATATATGTAATTTTTTTTTTTATTTGTATGAATTATATATTATAATAAGTAAAACAAAGCTACCTGAACACTTCCTATACTTGTTATATATACATATTTTTATTTTTTTATTTTTTTTTATTTTTTCATATTTTAATTTTAAGAAAAAATATTTTTGAAAAATAATTTTTTGAATTTGTCAATACAATAAGTGTGCCTATCAAAACTTTTATGTATAAATACCTAATGGAGGTATTCAACATTTTTATTAATTTTTAAAAATGTAATGTGTTTTGAACATGTGTGTATGTATACAGTAACCATTTTTATTTCTTTAAATATAATAAGTAAAAAAAAAAAATATACCTGGACCAGAGAATATTGTATATATATCAAGATAATTAATTTTATTAAAAAATAATATTTGTATTTTATTTATTTTTCATTTGTTACTTATAACATTAGAAATACATTAAATCACATTTTGTAAATAAAAAACAACTATGTTTTTTATATTAAGGCATTTAATAATAATAATAACAACGTAATGTATTATATATATAACTATAATAATTTTTATTTTTATATTATTTTATTAATTAATTAATGGTCTTACATAAAATAATTTGTTTTATTAATTTTTTTAGAAAAAAAAAAAAAAAAAAAAAAAAAAAATTTAAACACATATATATATATATATACATATATATGATTATAAAATTTATTGAACTGTTTGTTGTTTTTTAACTCTTTTATTTTTAAGTCTATTTTGGTTGGATATATTTAATTTAATTAATTTTTTTAAGGTAACCTTGAAAGGTAATTTTTTTTCTTTCTCAGCATTTGATAAAAGAGATTTTTTGGCTGGTTTGTTAATTTCTCTTGCAATTATTTGTATATGACAAGGTGATGACATAAAAGGATTAATTCTACCATGTGCCTTGTATGTTCTTCTTCTACCTGGTCGAGCTTTGTTTACCATAACATGAATTAATTTTAGTTTACTAACATCCAAATTTCTTGACTATACGAAAGAAAAAAAAAACATATATATATATATATATATATATATATATATATATATATATATATATGTATATATTATTTTATTATAAGTAAATATACATATCAATATATACAGTTAATAATATAATTAATTATATGTACACACGCACACAAAAAAAAAGAAAAAAATATATCATTCTTATTATATTTATTTTTTTTTTCAGTCAAATGCCTCAAATAATCATGATGATAAAAATTAAGATTATTAATTATACATTAATAAATATATAAAACATATATTTAAAAATAATAACAAATATTCTTAATTTTTTCATACTCGTCATCTTTTCATCATAAAAATAAATAATAATAATAATAATATGATATAATTCTATATTTAAAAATCCTTATAACCATATTCATCATATATATATGTATATATGTATATCTCATTTTATTAAACAATTACATTAGAATATATATTATTTCATATATATGCTTACCTCTGCGTTAGCTTGTACATTATCAAGAATATTCAATAAGAATTTACAGGATTTAGCTGGCCATCTTCCTTGTGTATGATTAAATTCTTTAGCTTGGTTTGTTCTTCCTACACCCCCATTATATTTACGGAAAGGTACACATCTTTTCTTTTCAATAACATCATTTAAGTATTTTTTGGCTTCTAATAACTTCATTCTCCTTATAACTCTTGCAGCTTCATACGTATTTTTAAAATGTACCCTCAAATCAACACCTGCTCCCTTGGCACCTATAATAATATATTAAAGAAATAATAAATTTGTAAGTAACTATGCCATTATGCATAATAAAAATATATATATATATATATATATATATATAATATATTTATATATTTTTTGGTAAATTTCCATATTATTATATTTTTTCATATATATTTTTTTTCTTCATATTTTTATAAAATTACATTTCCCAAGGTTTCTTATTTTTTTAGCATATTTAACCATTTCGGAAAAAGTTTATATATAAAAAAAAAAAAAAAAAATTATAAGAAAAGGATTTATAAAAAATAAAATAAAATTTCTTTAAAAAAATGAATGGAGTTCAATATATATATATATATATATATAAATATATATTTTTTCAACGTTCAAACATAAACTTTTCTTAATATAATATATATTTATAATAAATAATATTTTTAAAAAAATATATTTAATATTTATGAAAGATGGAATTTTTTTTTTTTTTTTTTTTTAATATTTATATAGAAAAATTATACTATATGATATTTTTATATTTAAAATATTATTAATTAAAAATGAAAATATATAAAATAATTAATAAATAATAAATAATGAAATATTTATATATATATATATATATCATATATAATATAGTATATAATATTTATTATATGAATCAAAATAATACATATATAATTTTTCCATAAAATAATATATAAAAGAAATAAGAAAAAAAAAAGCACATATAAAATATTATATTGTATATAATATTATATATTTAAAATATAATATATTTAATATATATTGTAACTAATTTTTTTTTATTTCTCATATACAAAAAATAAGGTCTTCTAAATATATATTTTTTTAATATACAGAAATAAAAAATATATATATATATATATAATATATTTATATATATATGATAATGTATATTCTATTCATCATATAAGTAAAATATAATATTATATATTTATATATATAATTTATTATATAATATGAATATTTATATATTTTATATATATAGTATTATATTTATATAATATATATATAATTTTTTTTTTTTTTTTCGAGACTATGTTAATAAATTATTATATATAATAATATATATGTTGTAATATATACACAACAAGAGAGAGCAAAGTGATTTTTTCACCTATTATATAGAGAAAATTATTAAGAGCGCAATGTTTTTGTTTTTTTCTAAATATTACGGAAATAGTATTTTAATTATATAAATATATTATCATTAAGATTTTTCTTCATTTTTATATATTTTTAATTATTTTATTTTTTATTTTTTTAAAAATATCTTATAATTTTTATCTTATCTTAGTAGTTGTATAATATAAATATATTTTTGGCCAAATTATTCCGCATAAATAAAATAATGTTATACCTTTAATTTTTCTCTCTTTTTTTGATATATAATTATTATATATATATATATTATATTATTTATAAATATCAAATAATGAGCACAAATTATGTACAATTCTATGTATATATATTAATATTACAGAAAAAAAATGTAATATATTTTTTTTTTATTAAATTGTATTATTTATTAAATTACAAAGAGCAGCCTCCTGTCTCTATCCAAAAAAATAAACAATAAAAAATAAAACAAAACTGAAGTTATTTTATACATACATACATACATACATATGTATATATATATATATATAGTTATATATATTAGTCCCTTCAACAAATAACATTGTGTTTATTAAAACATTTAAAGCATTCGTAAGAGTCTACCATTAATATACAATATTAATATATTTTTTTTTTCTTCATTTATTTATAGGATGTGCCAATAATTTATTATATTGATTTTTGTTTATTTAAAAAAAAAAAAAAAAAAGAAAAAGAAACAATGCATTTATTAGTATGAAATTTATATGAACATTTTATTATTTTATTATAACGGAAAATGTTTTTTTTTTTTTTTTTTTTTTTATATATATACTATTTATCATAATAATAATTATGATTCCTTTTCTCGTCCTTCCTTTTTGTAAGTTTAATTATAATCCTTACTTGTGCATACTTGTGTACACAACTGATGTTTTTATTTTTTAAACAAAATTAAAAGGCCTAAACAAATATTAAAAGTTATGTGTATCTAAATTAAGTTTTTTTTTTTTTCTCAATTTATAAATATTCATATATTAAGGTATACGAATGCAAATATTTCTCTTATAATTAAATGTGTTCTTATTCTTTATTTTCCCCATAAAATTTAAGAAATTTATAGTTACGCCATATATAGTTTTGTAATAACACATTTAACATGTTACATACATTTCCATTTTTATTAATTTATATATGTATATATATATATATATATATATATATATATATATATATATATATTTTATATTTATATATCATGTCTTCCTTATTTGCATGCTTTAAAAAAATTAATAATCCAAAGGTATACTTTGATTAGTTAACCATCTTGTTTTACCAATATGGTCATTTTGGCTGTTCAATATATAAAATAATACCATCAAAAAAAAAAAAAAAAAAAGATAAAATAACAAAAAAAAAAAAAAAAAAACAAACAATGACAAAATAAACAAGATAAAATGAATAAAATATACAATATATATGAGATATATATGCTTCCCCCATTTTTCCGTTTTCTTGTTGTTCAATAATTTTATTAAAAATGTCCTATTTTTCTATATCCGTAAAAAAAGTTAAAAGAAAAACGTTTTCTCATATATATAGGTATATTAATTTTTCTTGCTTAAAGAAAGGATAAAGAAAATGTGTTATATTGTTCCTCGTGAGCTTGGTTTACTCATTCGAGTTTTTATGTGATGTATTTCTCTTTCTATATTATTTACAAAATATATTTTTGAAAAACCAAAAAAGCTATTTGTTATATTTTTTAAAAGTTTTAATTATTATTTCCTGTGGTTCTATAACACTTCATTTAGTAAATATATGTTTGTGTATCCTTTTATTTCGTACGACATTTTATTATATATATATATATATATATATATATATATATATATATATAATATACATTTGTATGAATGCTCTATATATTATATTCATATCATTATTGATATAATCTTGGGATTATATTTAAAGTATAACATATTTGCTCTATATAAGTGTATTAAAGTAAGAAATCGATATTTACAAAATGGTTCCATTTCTCATATTTATAGACCTCTTGATGCTCTCTCACATTTTTCATCTTTTTTAAATTTCATGAATAATTCAGGTGAAAAGAGAAGAAACTAACATATGAAGAACAACAACAATAATAATGGAACACACATATATATAAATATATATATATATATATATATATTTATTTATTTATTTATATATGAATTAATATTATTTTTTTTAAAAGATATTTAACTGTTCCTTTTAATACACATTTTTTAGAGGTCGATGATAAGCTGGGACCTAGTAAAGAACTTACAAATATAATAAATATTATAAGTAAAGATAAGAATGATAACGTATCTTACAGAGGATATAATAATAGTAATGATAAAAAGAAGGAAGATATATATAGGAATTATTTCAAGGCATATCATGATTATGAAGAAGAGGTAACACTAAAAGCAAATATACATGTGCAAGAAAAAAAAAATATATATGATTTAAAAATTTTTAAATAATAAAACACATAAAGACATTTTTGCTTCTTCAATATATGAAAATATTCAGCATAGTGATAAACAAATAATTACATATATGAAAACCAACAAAATATAAAAGAAAAAACTATGGACCATTTTAACTCTTATAAAAATATAGTACAAAAATATGCAGACTTAAATTTCTTACCATCTATAATTTTATGGATATCTGTTATCTTAACAACTAAAATTATTACATTAATATTTTTTTTTACTATTATTTCCTTTATTTAATTCTTTCGTCATATATACTATAGATTTTATTAAGGATATGAAACTTAAACTTTTACTAGTAATGATTATATTGCTTTTCTTTATTAATTACATAATGTACTTTTTCATAGATACTATGATACAAAGGAAACATAAATATAAAAAATGTCATAATGATGATTCCATTTAATCTTCTTTAACAGCCGATGAAAATAAAGAAAAACAAATATAAATAGATACATAAATATATAAATATATATATATATATATATATATATTTATTTATGTATATTTATTTATATATTCATTATAAGGTCTAATAAAACTTAATTAAAAACTTTTTTAACAAAAATATAATAATTTTATGTCTGTCATAAAAATAAATGAAAGATAGAAAATTTTTGTTTTATGAGACTACAAAAAAATATAAATTAATATAAAACCTTATATTATTTATTGTAAATCAAAAAGAAAAATAAAAGGCAAAAAACTTATGTAAAATAAATTAAAAAAAAAAAAAAAAAACACATAATATATATATATATATATATATATATATGCATATATTTATATATTAATATGTTTAGGTGTGCATATATATTTTATATATGTATATATATTTTTTTTTCTCTTTTTTTTTTTATTTTTTGAATTGCACAAGAAAATAATATATAGACAGTTCATATATATATATATATATATATATATATATATATATATATATATATATATATAGCACAATA